GCCTCCACACCACACAGTGAGACAGCTGGTCAGAACGCTCTCTATGGTGCCTCTGTAGAAGGTGGTGAGGATGGGTGGGAGTCAGGTGGGCTCTCCTCATTCTCTGCAGGAAATACATGCGCTTCTCTGGCCATTTGACCAGTGAGGTGGTGTTTACTGTCCAGGTGAGGTTGTCTGTGATGTGCTGCTGAGCTGGTGGTGAGCAGTGGCGTCGTGGTTTAGGCCGGTCCTTCCTGAAGTTGACGATCTTCTTCATTTTCTCCACATTCAGGATCAGGCAGTTATCTCTGCACCAGCTGCTCCACTTCCTCTCTGTAGTCCTGCTCGTTGTTGCCTCTGATGAGGCGCACCACCGTGGTGTCATCTGCAACTAAACTGGAAACGGTTTAATGTTGGGGGGAACTAGAGATGATGTGTTCTTTAACCAGCCTGTTGAAGCACTTAATCATGATAGGAGTCAGTGCAACAGGCCGGTAGTCCTGTTCTCTTTTAAACAGGACTGTTGCTTTTAATAGACTGTTGCTGTGTTGAGGGGATTAGAGAAATGGCTGATATTGAAGCAAAGGTGTAGCAGCTCCAAACATACATATCTTTCAGCATATATCCAACCCATGGGCGTAGGTTTATATAGGGACCATAGGGACATGTCCCTACCAAAATTTTGGATCGACCTACTTGTCCCTACCAATAATTTGATGTGAACAACATGTTTATAATTTAAAATACAGCGTTATTGCATAAGGAGCTATTTAAAGAGTCAGACAGTAAGCAATATAGGATGATGATAAAAGGTTGTGTTACATTTAATCCTTTACCATTAAAAACACACTTGTATAATAGAAACATTATATGAATATAGGAAACAAAGATATAATGATGCAGGGCACCCTCATGGTGAAGCAGCTGCCCTTCAGTGCTGTATTATGGGAGAAATGTGTTTGGAATGTTACCATAAAATTAGGGCTGCAATTAATGATTATTTTGCAAATTGATTAATCTGTCGATTATTTTTTCGATGAATCGATTAATAATCAAATAGCCAAAGAAGAAAAAGATTTTTTACTACATGAAACAAGGTGAAACAGAAACTTTTCCTCTTGAGGAGTTCTGGATGCAGAATATTTAAAGACAAAAACTTTTTTTTAATCTCAAATGCAAAATGTTTACATATTTTTTACAATCTTGGTATAATTCCTGCTCTAAATGGGTCGCTCTGTCGGGTAAAGGCACATTTTAGTGGCCCTATACAACAGTTAATGATTAATCAATTACTAAATTAGTTGACGATTATTTAAATAATCGATTAATATGATTAACTTTTAAGCCCAAGATAAAATACATGAAATGGGCTACACAGAGTAACTACAGCCCATATGTACAATTTGTATAGTGAAGTTAATATTTCAAATGCTCAGTGTCAGTTCCTCTTATAGTTCCAGTGCTCATGTAAATACAATACATTTATTTACCTTCCCTTGAATGTATTATTTTTCATGATACAGACAGAGCATATTATATATAAAAAAAATAAAAATAAGAGTGGGGTTTACCTGTTTTCCTCTGCACAATTTTATATCTTCAAAAGAAAACAGGATAAATCCACATATAATGGACATATTTAGACTATATTTGGTTAAATAGGCACTGTCTTACAGTAGTTGCTGGTAAGTTTAAATGCAAACCTTTTCAAAGTGGAAAAACATTGATAAACAGGATCTAGTGTGTGTAGTGCTCATAAGATTGGTATTAATGTAGCAAGAAATGCTGCTGTTTTCTTTAAACAGAATGTGCTCTGATGCTCACATTAAGCATAAAAAAACAGCATACACATTTTTGCATAGGACCAATGACATCAGACCAATGAAACTGAAAACAAATAGTGTCCCTACCAAAGTTGAAATCAAACCTACGCCCTTGATCCAACCCACTGGATTTTCATTATAATTACCTGCAAGAAAGCTGCTGCTTTTGTGGGGATGGCATCTGCTACCATGCTGTTACACAGATCTTTATTTGGCTTTGATGTTTCTTTAGTGGCAGGATCCATAATTCATGATGAAAATATGAGCAAAGCCAATATTTGTTCCAACATCAGAAGTCTGTTTTTTGGGTATTGAAAGAACGATAGGTACATCTTCATAACCTTCCTTTTCCAAATAACAATAAACTACATCAAGGATGGATTCTAGAACATCGCAGGTAAATGAATTGGGCCAAACATCACAAAATAAACTTTGGGATCGGTTGACTCCTTTTTTTAATGTTTGATAAAGAATTCCCTACACTATTAAGATAAAATGCTTGGAGCACGATGTAGCATCAACGTTCAGGTTAGAGTGAGTTATAGTTAGGCCTCCTGTCAATTACAAACATTTATTATGAGCATTTAATTTCTTATAATCTGTGATGTTGACTGCTTCTGCAGCAACATTGAAGTAAAGTGGCCTGACTCAGACCATGACCACTTCTTGATTGGTATAATTATGACATTAAGAGAAGTGGTTATGAAATGTATGAAAGATATTTAGCCATTTGGTTGATAACCATACAGAAAGCACCTTTTGAAGTTCTCCATGAATGTTGCTCACTTGGTGTGAAGTACATTAGTTGCCATTCAAAATGTCCCCACTTTCCTTGATGGGTCCTTCGTTGGACCTTGGCTGGTCCCCTACAATTGATTGTTAAACATCCACCTTTGTACAAAAACATTCTTTCTGTCATGATTTGTGGAAATTAAGCTCTACTGAGACGCGCCATTTCCTGGTCAGACCCTGTAATTCAGTGAAAGGGTGGAGTCAGAGTAAAAAAAATATGTTGGGTTCATGAAGGGGGCATTGCTGGGAGTTGCAGGAGAGTGGGCTGCCATTCGGCTTGTGTTTGAATGAGAATGTCCATTTTGAATTGCTGCAACTGTATGGTGTAAATATGCTGCCTTGACACAGTTGAAACTCCTGAGCCTGGTTTGGCCTTTTAGAAGAAGACGAAGCCAGGATGCATTAGTAAACACAATAGGTAAAGGCCTTATGTCTTACCCGGAGTTTATAAATTCAGCTTCTGTGAAACAGGAAAAAGCCTTATGAACTTTTTTTTGTATGTTTATTTTAGCACTTGTGATTTTTTCATGGAAGCTTGTTACTTTTAGAAACAAATATCTGATTATTTTTCCTATTTTCAGATAATTATTATTACAAGTGTAATATTGTTTAAACATAGTTTAGCTCAGCTTTCTCTTCCTACTTTTTTAGTGTAACATTTTTTAAGTCTTCGTTTTAGGTTAAGCTTAGCTTACAGTGTTTTTTGCTTATCCTATGTTAGAGATGCATCTTAGTTTGGTTCATTTAAAATTATATCAGAGTTATTCTGGGTTTAACTGAGTTAATCTTAGCATATGTGTTTAGATTTGCATTTGGATGATTTATTCAGGGTAATTCTGATCAGGCCTCACTGTCCTGCATGTTTTAGGTGTTTCCCTGCCTCTACACACCTGACCTGAATGAAAAAGTGATCAACAGGTTTTTGCGGCATTTGATGGCTGAGGGGGAGGCATAATGATTTAAATCAGGTGTGCTTGTGTTGAGAAATATCGAAAACATGAAGGACAGCGATCCCTGAGTTCCAGGGTTAGGAATTATTTATTTTTTCATAGCTTTATAAAGCTTTCTTTTAAAGTGGGTTTGCCATAGCTTAGATTGGCTTATTTTACTGTTAAATAGGTTAGAATGTCCGGTGTTTTCTTCTCTTAAGTTAACTTATCTTTTTCATTTAACACAGCTTAGCTTAAACTAGTGCATTTACAGTGGCCATCTTTGCTTATCTTTCTACATTTAGTTTTCTTAGGTTAACTTATCTGAGCTTATAGTTTACCCTTGCATAGATAGCTCAGCTCTGATTACCTGTCCTTTGGTCTTAATTCACCTATAGGAATCAATACATTTGGTGTTTCTTGTCTTAGCATTGTTGTAACTGAGCTCAGTTTATTGTAAGTTAGTTATAGGTTTGTTTAAAAAAAAAAAAAATACTACCTCTAATCAATTAATCTTATGTAGGCAACATGTATATACAGCCATTTTTTCAAAACTAAATAAATAAATATATAATTTAATGAATACATGAATATTTAGATAAAGGAATATTGATAAATTATAATGCTGATGAAGGTTCTCAGTCATCCAGGTCATAGTCATTCCGTAAAAATTCAAAAAATATCCACTGGACTTGGTTTCCAAGATTTGAAGATTTCGAATCTTGGAAACCAAGTCCAGTGGATATTTTTTGAATTTTTACGAAATAAATTATTACATTCAGTTATTAAATTACCGTAATAACATATTGAATCAAATTAATATCCTCATGAAATACAACAAAAATGTCCATCTCATGTTATTTAATTTTTTCAATATTTATTTAACTATAAGATTTATATATATATATTTTTATATATTTTAGTTTTTTTATATATTTTAGTTTTTTTTTATTTCATTATATTTTAATTTTTTTATTTATTTATTTTCTAATTTATATATACTTTTTATTTTATACTTAACTTTTAGTTATTTATCTCTAAATCTTTGTTTCTTTTCTTTGGGAAAGTCGGAAGACCAGATCTTTATCAGATGATTTTGATTTTATAAACCTGTCTGCGCATGTGCAGTGCTCTCTGGTTTGGGGCGGACAGGTGCCACACTGACCTATGACCCCCAATTCACCATCCTCACCATCACCTCTGTCATCCTAATAACTCTTCCGGTGGTGACGTCACTCCCGTCTCGGGCTGCAGCAGTACGGCGCGTGCAGGGAGAGAGAGAGAGAGAGAGCGGCGCGCGAGACCCGGCCCAGGTGGACGCACGAGCCCGAACGTCCGCAGGAGGGAGGACCGAAACACGGAAAAAGGAAAGACGAAGAAGAAAAAGGAGGAGGATAAACACCGCGCCTTCCTTCCTGTTCTGCCTCCTCCGCAGCGGACACATTCCCAGAGACCGACGCCTGTTGGTGCGAACAGCTGATCCAGGAAGAAAGGAAGAAGAACAGGCCAGAGGACCGCAGCAGGAGATGGAGAAAGAGAAAGAGAAGGCGGCAGGTAGGAGGCTGGTGGATGGATGGATGGATGGATGCAGGGATGGATGGATGGATGGATGCTGGTTAGGAGTGTGCTGCAGTATCCTGCTGCTCCCATCCTGGTTGCAGCTGCTGATGCTGTTAGGTGTGGTTATTATGGGATGGGGTGCAGTGTGTGTTTTCCACCCCAGAAACTGATGCAGCAGAACCTGCAGAGACAGACAGGAACAGGGCGGACCGGATGCAGACAGGTGGGACGGCTGCCTGGAGGACTGAGTGAGGACTGGACTGATGGACAGCATGATGAGGCAGCAGAGGCTGAGAGACCCGGGGCCTCCTGGGGATGCTCTTTGGGTTGAATGTTTCTGTGGAAACCCCAGACGTGCTGCTGTAACGTTTTAACTTTATGAAATAAACCTGTGAGCAAAGGGAGATATGGACCAATGGATCTGAATGATGAAGAAATACATTACATCAATTATTTCTTAATGCTGACAAAACAAAGTTCAATCATAAGAAGGTGCCTCAGTAGTTTCCACTCTGGAGAGGAATGTCATTAAGCTGGTATTGGAATTGGAATTGATGATTCCCTAACCTTTAAACCTTTTCCTGATAAACTTGTGAAGAAATAAAATGTTAAACTGGGCTTCTTCTTTGGTAATAAGACATGTTTTTCTTTCAGAGTTAAAAAGCGCATTGTCTCTGCCACGTTTTTATCGCTCTTAGACTACGCAGACTTTTTTTAAATAAGAATTATACTTCTTCATGTCTTTAAATGTTGGACTCTGTTAACCATCACGGTCATTGAAAGTCATTAAATAATTTTTCTTTTAATTAAGGTCTGAATTTGCATTAAAATTCATTAAATGTGAATATTTTAGCATCGAAAACACTTTAGTTAGGAAAAACAATGTTTATAAAAACATTTTATTGAACGATATATATATTTGCAAATATATCGCGATATATTCTATCGTAATATATTTGCAATAGAATGCAATATATTTGTGCGGAACTTCCGGTTGATCGTAAAGCCGTATGTTCGGAAAAGAAGCTCGAGGCAGAGAAAAAGATAGAGAACGGGAAAATGAAAATTTCAACAAAAGTGGCTGAAAAACCAGGAATTCTGGACACAGCAGCAGCCTGTCAATCGTAAAAATGACAAAGGATCTTGCTATACTGTATATATATATATCATTGGTACTTACAGTCATTGGTACTTGTTGATGGTATTAAAATGATTTCTAAGAGCATTAAAAAGCATTAAATTAGAGTTACTTATTCCTGTATAAACCCTGTTTTAAGTTGAAAGTGACAGAATTTGAACCAGCCTCAATTATGTCTAATTGTTTTACTTGATATTTTTTTTATATACCTGTCATTTAATTTAATTTATCTCGGTTTATTATGTGACTTTGCTGCCTCTTGGCCAGGACTCCCTTAAAGGTTTTTTTTTTTATCTCAATGGGATTTTTTCCTGGTTAAATAAAGGTTAAAAAAATAAAATGAATAACAGTCAAATTCCTTCAAAATGGGAACAACAGTCATATTACATAAACACAGGTTACTAAAAAACAATGAGTTGTAAAAAGCTTACCTCCAACTTCCCTAAAGTCATATTTAAATTCTGTAGCTGTGATTTAACTGTTAGCATTGCGGTTTTCTCTGAATCTTCTCCGGATGGATGGAAGGAAGGAAAAGATGTCTACCTGGTGATTCCCTGCAGAGTTAAGGTAGTTGGAACAGATTCAAAGCCTTTTTTATGGTTTGATTCAGAAATAGAAACAGAAACTGTATTCTTTGTTTTTGCTGTTTTTCCCCCTGGAAACTTTATTTAGCTTTTTAATATGCTTTAGACTGAATATTTTTTTTTTATTTTCCTACGTAATCCCAACATTTCTTTAGTGATGCTTCCCAGAAATTTGCCCTCCTGGTTTACAGTGAGGGGCGTTAAAAGAGGGAAAAGATGGAGGGAGGCGGTAGCAGATGACGGACGGAGCGATCAGACCGACCACCAGGCTGACAGATGGTCAGAGATGGTCCTCCTGGGATGGGAGACGGCAGAGCCATATCATGGCTACAGTCAGAGAGTGCTGTGATGTTTTTTTGCATTTTGGAGCTCCACAGAAATTCTACCTCTAGGTTTTTTTTTTAATGTTTGCTTGTTTTTTTTAGCTGGCATTATTCTAACAACCTGAGGAATCTGTTGCCAACCTTTAGGGATTCAGCTCCTTCAGGACCATGGACAGTTCTTTTTTTTTATTACTCAGAGGCAGAATCATTCCTCAGCTCCTTTAACTAAGGTCTTTGTTGTTTTATTAGTTTTAAATGAGATTACACAGCTGTTTCATTGCAAAACAGATGCTGTAGTCAGTCTATATATATATATAAGATAGATATAAATATTCTCAAACATCTCAGAAAATATTCTAATAAATAAAAAAGTTGCCTACTGAGTTAGCTGATTCTCAAATTTTTGATAAAACAGAGTTAAACCTGAGTGATATCAATCAAATCTGTAAGGACCGAAAATAAGCCGACCTAAAGAAAGTAGGTCTATTTTTGTCTTTGTGGGTCAGTTTAATCTCAGCTTCAGTGATGTCTGGGCTGTAATTAGTAAATAAATCCACTGAATGTTCTCCTTCGAGAGTAAAGGAGACATCAAAGTCCTAAAAAAAAAAATTTTATATTCTGCTGATCTTCAGCTTAAAACAAGCTGCTAATGTTACTAAACCGGAGCAGCACAGCAGATCTCCTTTTGTCGCTGATGAAACTGTTTTAGCAGCAGGAGAACTCGGCTATTTTCTGCTTTTACCCATAAATAGATGCTTATTTATCTTCTGGGATGGATCTTCAGCCACAAGGAGGATATTTTTACCCTGTTAGATAATTTTAGATGTTTGATGGAAGAAACGACCTCAGATGAGGTTCAGGCTGAATTTATTGTGGGTGTAACTGATTGAACCCGACTCTATCAGCTTCGTCTGTCCAGACTGCAGGATGGGGGGAGAATCTGTGGTGGAGTCAGTAAGAGCAGATTTAAAGCTGCCATGAGTCAGCTGGATGCTGGTTGGACGTTTTATTTACAGCTTTTTAGCCTCCATGACTCAAAGTTTTAGGGATTGTTTTGGCCCGCTGACAGGAGCCTTTGCAGATAAAGGTTAGGAGGACTTTTTATTGGAAGGGGGCGTGGCCTACAGAGGAGTGGGGCCCTCCTCAGGGATGGTCGGTGTGTTTGTTTACAGCGGATCAGTGTGTGGCATCGATTTGCTGATCAGTTTCACGGGATTCCAGAGGATTCAACAGAAACCTGAGAGCCACAAACAAACCTGAGGCTTTCTGTCCACGTCTGTGTTTCCGCTGATGAGCTGACAGCCGTCCAAACACAGCTGAGGGATCAGTAAACATCCTGGGGAAGAGGAAGGAAAACAATTCCTGGCTTCTTAAACATATTTAACAACAAAAACGTGTACATTTCGTCGTTAATCAAACCAAAGATGAACTTTGATCATCTGGGATCATAACCTGCCATAGAAATAGGACCCATAGTTTTCCTGTCTGACAAAGACAAAAAAAAAACAATATCTATGAAGCTATGAAATGACCTAAAAAGCAACTTTTTAGGTTTAAAAACCAGAAAACCCATCAAATAACAAAAAGGAGATCATTTAACCTCTTATATCACATAATTGTGGGAAATTCTCGCCTATTTTGCATACCCAAATGGAAAAGCAAATAATTTAGGACTATAAGCTCAGATTACATGTGTGAAACATTATTCAAAAGCTTACAACTTCTAGTTTCTGAATACAGTATATACATGAAAATTGGGTCAGTAAAACACCCAAGCTGCATAAGTTCAAACATCACTCAAAGTAGATTTTTCTTGAAAATAATATATTTTTTTAACAGCAGTAATAAAGACATGTTTGCTTGTTGTGGCATCTTTGTCATGGTACATTTTGACATGCTGCTATGTTCATGAAATGAACTATGTGGTTGAATTGCGGAGAATCTAAGCTTTTCAACGATATCTAATATGTTTATATTGGTAAACATTTTACTGGTGTAATTTTATTGCATTCTGAGTTATTTGTAAATGCTTTAAAACTGGTGGGTTTTGAAAGGTTAAAAAAGTAAATTTAAAATCCATGTTCCAGAGTTTGTCTCCTGCAGCTTTTAACCACGTTTCTAATTCGTCTTCAGTTTAGTCAGATTGGAAGGAGAACATCTATTCAATTCAATTCAATTCAATTCAGTTTATTTATATAGCGCCAAATTCACAACACATGTCATCTCAAGGCACTTTACAGTTCAACCAGATCATACAGTCAAATT